TTTGAGAACCTTTTAGACCAAGGTGTCACTGCCACTGCTTTCCCAGCAGGTCTGCTAAGACTGAGGAAACGCTCGGTACATGCAGTCTGAGGACCTTGGTGGACTCTTCACTCTGGCTTAATGGCTGCTCAGCTGTTCTTTGAAGCAGCTTTTAGAGATGACCTATTTTAAAATTTTATTTTATATCATTTTGACAGTGGTGGGGGTTTAAGCCTGTGTGTGTGCTTGCATGTCAAAGGTTTGCCTGCTTGTGGATCCTGTTCTGTGCACCTGCATGTGTGCATTTCTGCTGACATCAATACAGGTGTTGCAATCGTATTAATGCAGTGTTTCAGTAGTGAGCTCAGGTGTGTTGCTTTCTCACATGATTAAGGAGAGAAATAATTTTTGCTCAGAGTGACCGATTGGGATGTTTATGTGTGTTTTTGCAAATGTTCCCTCTGCTGCCATCTCAGAATAGAATACACTGCGTATATTTTTAGAAACTTTCATCTTAAGTAGGCCTAGAGCTCTTGTTTTTCTTTTCGGTCAAGCAATCAATAAAAACTTTTGCAGTTTTCACCAGCTGTAATTGTGACTTTTAATATTTCAACACAAGTCCTGTTTCTTCAACTTTGTTCAAATTAGTCAGTGTGATGGTACAGGGGTTGGACAATAAACTGAAACACCTGGTTTTAGACCACAATAATTTATTAGTATGGTGTAGGGCCTCCTTTTGCGGCCAATACAGCGTCAATTCGTCTTGGGAATGACAGATACAAGTCCTGCACAGTGGTCAGAGGGATTTTAAGCCATTCTTCTTGCAGGATAGTGGCCAGGTAACTATGTGATACTGGTGGAGGAAAACGTTTCCTGACTCGCTCCTCCAAAACACCCCAAAGTGGCTCAATAATATTTAGATCTGTGGACTGTGCAGGCCATGGGAGATGTTCAACTTCACTTTCATGTTCATCAAACCAGTCGTTCCACACAGTCTTGGCTGTGTGTATTGGTGCATTGTCAATCACACGGCCCGCCTTCAGGATACAATTGTTTGAACCATTGGATGCACATGGTCCTCAAGAATGGTTCTAGCACAAGTATTTGGTCCAGGGAATGCCATGATATGGCAGCCCAAACCATCACTGATCCAACCACCCCATGCTTTCACTCTGGGCCATGCAACAGTCTGGGTGGTACACTTCCTACTTCTTTGGGGCTTTCTCCACAGCGTAACTCTCCCGGATGTGGGGAAAACAGTAAAGGTGGACTCATCAGAGAACAATACATGTTTCACATTGTCCACAGCCCAGATTTGCGCTCCTTGCACCATTGAAAACCGACGTTTGCATTAGCATGAGTGACCCAAGGTTTGGGGCTATAGCAGCCCCGTCCGTGTATATTGACACCCTGTTGTGAGCTCCCGACGGACAGTTTCTGGTGGAAACAGGAGAGTTGAGGTACACATTTAATCTGTCGGATTTGGCAGCCGTGGTTTTATGTTTTTTTGGATACAATCCGGGTTAGCACCCAGAACATACCCTTTTCAGACAGCTTTCCTCTTGCGTCCACGTTAATCCTGTTGGATGTGGTTCGTCCTTCTTGGTGGTGTGCTGACATTACCCTGGATACCGTGGCTCTTGATAACATCACAAAGAACTTGCTGTCTTGGGTACGCAGATGTGCCAGCAAGACGTGCACCAACATTTGTCCTCTTTTGAACTCTGGTATGTCACCCATAATGTTGTGTACATTTCAATTTTGAGCAAAACTGTGCTCTTACCCTGCTAATTGAACCTTCACACTCTGCTCTTACTGGTGCAATGTGCAATCAATGAAGACTGGCTACCAGGCTGGTCCAATTTAGCCATGAAACCTCCCACACTAAAATGACAGGTGTTTCAGTTTCATTGTCCAACCCTTGTACTTTGTTGTGCTGATTATCACATAAGACCACTGCCGTCCACATGTGAGAAAAAACTTATTACAGCTGTCATCACTTATTTAACAAGCAGTTTGGTGGTTGATTTGTGCAATGAATAGCTAATGGAGCAGCTGCTACAAGACTCAAATCTCCTCTGTGATTTATGGCTATGATATTAGAGCTACAACACATTGGGTGGGCTTCTATCATACAGAAACAAAGGTATTCTGTCATGCTGGGAATGAGTCATGCAGGTAGATGTGATTATATCTGAAGTTTTATGACAAGTGAGCGCCTGGTTTTGTAATGGGCCCTGCGGTCACTGCCTTCCAAAGCTTTGCTGTTGGCGTTTGGTGCTGCAGTTGTCCTGTTGCGACTAATAGGCCTCTGGCTGCCCTATACTACTCTGAGTGATGCAAAAATACTATGAAAAGCATCAGTTTAAGGACCCTGATTCCAGTATGAAGCATTTGTTCTACAAAACCCGACTTACACTTTCCTTCTTCAAAACGTAACATTTTGGGTTATTTATTCAAGCTGGGAATTAAATAGAAAAATGCACCCTCTAGTATTCAGTATAAATAAATGCATTTAAAGGGTCAAATATTATGTTATATTAAGGTTCCAATTGCCTCAGAAGAAACTGTATCTGGGAATAACAACAGACTAGTTGTGTGCAATTCAAGGAACAAGTCCAAAAACCATTCAGATTGAAGTTCTACTTACTGAAGATACTTTATCTTATGTTCAAAACAAGCTGAAATCAACACCTTGAGCTGCTTTTAATACATACACCTAGAGCAGTACCACATAGGTATGTTACCAACAGAGACACACAGATAAATAGTTTATTACTGCACCTACTGGGCTGTCAACCTGGTCCAGCATTTGGGACATTTCAGTTTCTTTTTCATATTTGGAGAAATATTGTATTTTAGACACAATAATGGACTCTGTTTAACACTAGCCAGTTAGTTTTGACTTCTTACCTTTGTTGTCATAGCTGTGCCATGACATGAACTTGTACTTGGGTAAACCATGATAAGAAATTTTATACTGTTTATCAATGATTTTATTGGGGTGTTAAAGGAAACAGAGCCATTTAATATTTGCTTTGTTGTTTCCTATGTTTCCAAGTATGCTTTTTTTAGAGCATTTGTAATGGGATCAAGGGTGTGGAATTCATGGTATTCATCAGATAGGGGTACGTTACTTCTGCATTAAGGTCACCAGCTTGTTTGAATTTTGTATGTCAAAAGTTTAGCTCGGCCGAAAATTTCAGTGTTCTATAAGTGCCTCCAAGTAGTAATTATAAATCGAATTATTTAAATGTAGGTCAAGCCATCAGTTTCGCTTTCAATTTCAAGTATCGAGCATGTAAGTGAATCTTCATCAGAGCTGGACACGTAGAATAGCGTGAGATTAAGTGATGTTATTATTGTGTCATTGCTACAATATTTGAGTCGCAGTTCTGTTGATTCTGTGCAGTATACATGGCATGTAAAAGTTGTGCCGCTCATGTGCATGAATTTTTCAATATGTAAAACAATGGGTGGCAGCCTGGCTCATCTGGTAAACAAAGTATAACCTCTTTTTCACAGATTTGTTTACCCAGGCAAAAGGAATCTTAGGTTATTTGTGTGCTTTCTGTTTCCACTGCTCTGAAAGGCTGCAGAAAATGTATTTAAATCAGCCTAAAGATGTATGGAGGTTGTGAAGAAAAGTTTAGTCTACATCTAGTCTACATCTCCAGTCTAGTGGGTGGCGGTAATAAGATTGTTTTTGTGGCAATTTTGGCGTAAACCCTTTAATTCTGTGTCACTAACTTAAAATCTCACTGAATGTCTTCATCAGCAAAAAGCTTATGTAGCTTTTGTAGGTTCCTTTTCTGTTTTATACGGTGGCCGACAGGTGCAAACGTGCTGCAAACACATAAAAACACAGGAAATGCAAAACTCCAAAACACACAAACACAAAAACAAATGCAACAGGAAAATTCTTCAAAAGAAAAATGCTGCAATCACAAAAAAATAGAGAGAAGCAAAAACCTACAAGCAACAAAACAAAAGTAAAGGAAAAATGATTTAAATAGCAAAAACAACAGCAGGTTAAGAAAAGTTGCAAACACGCTCCACAAAACAGAAGTCCACCAGCACACTAGAGGGAGTCAATCAGCAAGTCATATTGGACCAGACTCTGTATAATTTACAAAAGTTATGTGATTAAAGACACATTTCAGTAGGTGGTGTAATGGTATGGTAGGTCGTACATGTATTCATACCAAACTGTCACATTACATCACACATGATCAGATAAAAAGCAGTCGCCATTCTTTTTCTAAGAAGGACACACATATGTTTTTGTATTGTGTGCTGTTAAATTCTATTAAAGGAAATAGACAGATTAAGCAACTGTCTAAAGAAGCACTCCACACCAAACTAATGCAAGAGTGCCTGATAAAATGGCACACAGTAGGCTGAAAGCTCATTTACTTGTTTTTCATGAGCCAAGGGAAGAATGAATATATAGTAAGCCCACTGGTCACATAATAGCTAACCTAATGACTGTGTATTTGTACATTTATTCTATATCTCATAGCTAGGACAATGGGCCCAAAGTTCTGAACTATTTTTAGTTTTACAATGAAACATGGTCTAATTTCCATTATAGAAGGTTGCATTAAATTGATGCATAGTCTGTGTATTACCTGTTGTTGGAAAATCTGTAAACAGTTTATTTACTCAGAACCTTCCACAAATAAAAAAACAAAAATCACGAGTCTTTGCAACAGGTAATAATTTAATGTTTGAATTTAGTGTAGGGGTGCAACTAACGATTATTTTCCTAATCAATTAAGCTATTGACTATTTTTTTGATTAATCGATTAATAATCGTATACCAAAAGGTGCTTAATAGGAGTTTTTTAGGTGACACTAAAGCTAAGCTTTCTATACAGCTTCTTCCATAGTGGGTCACCAGTCCATCGCAGGGCAACACACAAACAACCACGCACACACCTAAGGGCAATTAACCTAACAGGCGTTTCTTTGGACTGTGGGAGGAAGCCGGAGTACCTGGAAAGAACATGCAAACTTCAAACTTCAGCTGGGAGTCGAACCCAGGACCTTCTTGCTGCAAAGCAACAGCGCTACCAACTGTGCCACCGTGCAGCCCTGGATAGAACATATTTACAGATAAAAAAGGGTTTTCATCTTAAATGCGAAATGCTTGTATTTTTTGTACGATTTTGGCCTAATACCTCATCTGAGTGGGTTGTTCTTTTAGCAAATGGCATGTTTTAGAGTCTGTATAATTCAGTTAATGATTATTCGATTATTTAAGCAGTTGACGATTATTTCAATTATCAGTTAATCACAATTACCTCATTTTGTCAACATGCTTAACTAAACAGGCTGCAGGTACAGCAATTAAATATTATTTCCATTTATCATCAGTTAATTAACAGTAATATTTTTGTGAGCTGGATTTTCACTTACTGTTTTCAGCCTGCACAAAACCTCCATCGTGAGATAATAATGGTCATGGTCACAACATATCTGGGTCTTGGGTACTGGAAAGAGGAGCCTTGTACCAGAACTTATGCAGCTTGGTCAACAGAACGTTTAAGACAGGAATGATCACAGTGGCTGCACACCAGCCTAACCACAACCACACCTGGATAGCAGTGCTCCAACTAATTTATTGAAAGGCTTTTGGCACTGCAGCAGCTAAGCGCATGGCGTTCTGCCATGGCTCTGGCTAAATGAAAGGATCTTACCAAGCAGCTGAAATGAACAAACTCTGCTCTTCACACCAAAAAGGGAAAAAAAATAAATTATCCCCAGGCTTCTTACACATAATGTTTGCTAGGGGTTCCCAGCTGCATTGGAAGAATTGCACATACTTCTGAATTGTGCATATAGCCTGGTTGATGCGTGACCAATGTAAAAGCTTTGAGTAGTTTAGGAAATACTCAAAGGAGGAAATACTCAAATTTATGCCAAATATGTCATGTTGACATAGAGAAACCCTGGTATCATATTTAGCAATGAATGAAGAAGGAGCAGCAGGATAAAAACTTCAGGCTTTAGACTCTCCGTCTGAACACAAACGTGCTGCTGATATGCCTATGAAATAACTTATGGTGTTTCCTCCGCTAGAGCTGAAACTGATGGTGAAGAAACCAAAACCATCCTCTATATGTACATGGGACTTCAACAGATTAGGAAGAATGCATAATGCTGAAATTGTGATACTGTGGCTGTAACATTTGGTTTGGATGGCCAGGGAAGCAGCAGGGAAAACCCTATGTCCAAGGCAAAAAGAGTGCAGGACAGTCATTCTTGCCTCCACACTGAAATAAGGTTTTCCAATTTTCCTCAATTCAAAAATGATGAAATGGTCTTAAATAACCATGAAGACTGTAAGGTGGTCCTATTCCAATGAGTACATTTCTTTACCGTCAAAAAAATGTAAATTTCCTGCCCTTCATAAATACCCAGAGTAACCTAATATGTGACATTATTCTGCCCTTTTGTTTACCTTGCGCTGGCAATTAGAAACTTTTCACTTATTCACTAATTTTCCCCTTGGTTGTTCTTATGCTCCTTTGGTCTTGCTACCAATATTCCTGTCATACTATTCTTTCTTAATTATCAGAGAGTAATAGAATTTACAGATAATTAAATGACAATTAGGATCTGCTACACAAGGGACTTTTTGCTTTGGGGAATAATATAGTAGGTTATCCTTAAGGTCATTTGTTAAATACAAAAAACAGACACTCATGCACATCATAGCCTTGGTGAATAGAATGTAATCCATTTTGGTTTTTCCTTGGGAAGATTCAGTATGTTCTGTGAAAAAACTGAAAAAATACAAAATAGCTTCTGTGTTGTTACTTAAACAGATGGGTGCTCTGTGTATAATATATAAGTCACGCTGCAGTGGTGTCATTTGACAGTTTACATAATAAGGAGCCTGAATTCAGAGATATGAGACCAACTGTACATAGGGAGCTGAGGGAAACATTACCGGGATTCAAGAAGACTGGACTAGACTTATCCTCAGATGCACTGAAGAGGATATGCTCGCATACACACTTAACAACACACAAAACGCACTGGCTCTCCTTCTGTCTCTGAGGCAGCTCTGCTTTGGGTCTTACAATGCAAACAGGATGTAACCTATTTTGATCACGGTGCCATATTGCATCGTTAAATATTAACAGACTTGACTGAACCGCATTATGTCTGCTAAATACATACTGTTTGTAGTATGCTCTGTGCTGCTTCTTCAGATCCTTTATCTTGGTACTGAATCTCTTAAGAGTCTTGCACATGCACGAAGTGAGGTTATTTAGTCGTAAATTAAATTAGTGGCAGTGGACCTTTCTACTGGCACAGCTTTGCCGCACTGGTCTGTCTGGCTGGATTTCAGAATCAACAACTATTTGTGACTGGAAATATCCGATTTTTCAGCTTATTTCCATCTCTCCTCTCTGGCCTTTCCTCACTCTGTCTCTCATCTGCCCGTCTCTTTTCCCCCCTTTGCTCTCTGCTGATCCCAACTTGGAATTCAAGGTTGCTATGGTAACAACGTAGGGTTGGTCCTCTCTTCCTTTTCAGACTAGATGCTGTTCACATGCTCTAAAGTCACTCTCTCTTTAGCCTGTCACAGTGTACTTGCTATAATTACCCTCTTTAGCAGAGTGCAAATGTGGTTTTACAGCAATAAAATATGGAAGCTGAAAGCTGAGACTGGTTAATAATTTTGTCACTAAATCTAAGATTAAGGCACTTCTCCCAGTAGTCAAACAACTTGCAAACATTTAGCTTTTGCATGCACGGGAGATGGGAGAATGGTTAATTGGTGTTTAGTCCCGCATCATGTCTCTCTGTGGTAATCATAGGAATTCAGTCAGCACTGAAGGGAAAACAGCACCTGAAGTACATGCTAGTTTCTGATGAGGGCATTATGCTAAAGATTGCAGATGTGGTCATGGCTCAGTTTTGTTGTCCAAAGCAGTATATTGAAGGATTTTGTTTACCCACAGGGAGGATCTGAATCTGACAGAAACAACTCTGGAACAAACGCTACCAGAAGTTTACGTTTCTGTAAGATGGCTATGGCTAAAGCTGCTGACACATTATTTATCTTGGCATGTATGTTGGGTGATAGAAAAAAAAGCATGTTTCGTAGGTAAATATTTGAGAAAGAAAGTGCATTTTGTGAAACAAAAACTTCTCTCGCATAGATCAAGTGTGTCATTTATGACGCACCCCCTACCTCCTCCGTACATAGTGCATCTTCATTGGGGAAAGGGGTGTAAAACTTACAGTAAGCTGCTACATAAGGACAGAGTAAGTTACTTTTTACATTATGTTAAAGCCTCTTGTTTTGATCCCTAACTATAGTACTCATGATATTTTAAACTAAATTTGCATCCACAAGGTCTGTGGGATTCAAGAATACTGTAATACCTATGCCGCACCAGCAGGTGGTAATACCGTCATTACTGCAGACATCAAAACACAAAAGAAGATCCTGAGCATGGCTGAAGGTTTCCTAGGGCAAAGATTCTCCTCAAAGAATTCCAGCTGACGATTTCCTAGACAATGCACCCTCTCATTCACGAACTTCTTCATCTTGTATTTGAAGCTTGAAACAGAGTAAGGACAAAGAAAGACTGATGTCAGAAGAAAAGAACAACTGATCATTGTTGTTACTAGCAGTGGTAGTGGGCATGTACAAGGTGGGTTAAATATACAACATCATAAAAGTTTTAATTATCTCCAGATAACCAATCCACACAAATACACCACAAACTTCGCTTTTAAAAAGTTCAGTCCACAACTACCATGAAAAATAAAATTGTGTTTCTGTGTCTTATTGTACAGGTTTGCACTTTCAACAGTACCATGAGCCTACTGTAGTTACCATGATGACATTCGTAGGTTTTTGAAGTGTTCTTCTAGCATCTTGCGGTCTGCTTTCAGGGTGGCAGTTGTGTTTAAAGCCCTTCACTTGTAGACTAGTTTCTATACAGTGAAACAGCTGATTTCAAATTCTTTAGAGGCCTCTTTAATTGCTTTACCAGACTCATAAGCTGCTACAATCAGACAACTCTTGATTTCACCTTCAACAATCAGGAGTTTAAACAGGGTAAACCTCCTTTAAAATGCTAAGTAATGATGTTCTTATCATGTACCCTTGACATGATACACCTGTTTATGATCCCTACGTTTTAGCAGGATTCAATATTCGCGTGTCATAATAAAACTTTACCAGAAATTGCACATTTTATTACATTTACAGAAATGTTGACAAGTATTTTCTTTGGTTTATATCGTTTATTTGTGTCACTTAAAGTTCTCAGTATTGTTAAAATGGATAATAATTATTTAAATGTCCAAATATGTTTAATTTTCTTTCATATGACTGCATGTATGTATAACTGTTGCATAAAAAACATTTTGTTGCATATTTATAGTGGCACAATTAAACCTTTATCATGACCAAATGAGCTTTTTTTAATCTCAAGATTACATTTGTAAATATGTCTTCTGTTGGCTTTCATACCCAGGTATCTAATTTAATAAGAGGTATATTTGGAACATCTACCCCTTAAAACTAAATTTAGAATAAATTACATGCAAAAAATATGCATTAAATAAAAAAAATTCAATGCTTGATAGTAAATGGTTCACATTTTACATAAATAATGGCATAGTTTATTGGTAAATACATGATCTAATGGTATAATTATCAATGAATAATATATCAGTCTATAAATACCACTTTTAATTTAAAGGAATTAGTAAAAATGTCATTATTCTGTTCTTTTTTGTTTTGCAGCAGCAGACAGAGAAGCAGTGACCATGGGTTTTCTGTTGCAAATTTTCTGCTAACAGAGGACGGACAGACTGGGGTAACTGTCCACCACCCCCACAAGCTTCACTTTCTCCAGCAAAGAAAGAAAAAGGAAAAAGGGACTGGGGTAAAAGTGAGAGAGGCAAAAGAGGAAAAACAAGCGCAAGAAGGAGAGAGAGGAGCAGGTGAAAACAGTCGATGGATGCTGTCCGGATCGAAGGGGCAGCAAGTTCTTCACTGACGAGGAAAAAAAAGATTTCAAAATTGAGTCGAAGGATAGAAACTCGCCGTCAGG